GTCGGGTGGCTGCGCGGCGCGGCGCGGCGGCGGCGGCGGGCGGAGCGCGACGACGCCCACCACCATCCCCACGGCCACCACGCGCGCGAGCGCGCGGCGGCCGCTTCGGCCGCCGCCGCGTCGCACCCTGGGGCACCCGCCCAGCAGCAGCAGCAGCAGCAGCAGCAGCAGCAGCAGCAGCAGCAGCAGCAGCACCAGCAGCAGCCACACGACGCCCTGCTGGGCGGCGCGCGGGGGTACCTGCCTTCGGACCCTGTGCTTCTGAGGAGCGAGTTTCTGCTGCCCCTCGACGCGGCCCAACTGGAGCTTTACCAATGGCTCCTGGCCCGCGGCGGCGCGGACTCTTGAATGCGCCGCTTTGCGCGCGTGTGTGCACACATGGGCGCGTGCACGCTCGCATCGCTCAGCACGGCGCGGCGCGCGGCGTCCCACGTCCATGTGTAACGCGCGGTTCTGGACGTCCGCAGCTCTTTGAAGGTTGGCGTCAGGGGATGAGTCAGCGGGGATCACCGAGGGGCGCACCCGCAGAATCGGCGGCCAAAGCGTGTGGGCCCTTAGATGCCACGCCAAGCCGCAGCTTCCCGCGCAGGGTTAGGGCGCCAGCGGAGCATCAGCCTACCTTACGCCCGAGCGGTGTCATGCAGCGCCCCAAAGATCCGCCAGGATTTTTGCTGTTGTGCTGTCGGAAAGCTCTGTGGCGCCCGACGCGTTGGGCGATCGACTGCCTGGCCTTTAGGCGGTGGCCGTGTTTGGGGGTGACGGTGACCACTCCATGACGTCTAATCAATTTGGCGCCGTCGCTGACCTCTACCTGCGGCTGACAGAATCACGCCGTTGACAAACAAGAACTTATACGAGCACGGTTATGATAGAAAGTCACTGTTTGAGGCGCCAGATCGCGCAAACTAGATGTTGCGTGGTCGCCACGGAATGTGTGACACGCGCTGATGTAGGGCAAATCACCGTCACCAGCTGCTGAACCGCGTGTCTAGCCGCACATCTGCCTACGCCGCGCCGCTCCTGTGCCTAGAGGCCACACGTCCGGCCACCTGGCTGCAGCATCTTGCGCGCGGCGCGCGCGCAGGCATATTACTCCATGCCGCCCAATCCTGGCGACAACCCCGTGGTGAGGCCGACCACCCACATGAAATAACTCGCAGAGACACCCTCTCACCCGCGCGCGGCGGGGACCCGCCGCGGGACGCTCCTGCACCTGCGGCCCCCAACCGCGCGCCGCCCGCGCTGTGCGGCCCACCATTGCAACGCAGCCGGCCCGCAAGGTAGCGGACGTGATCAGGTCGCTGCAGCGGCTCAAGCTCAAGAAGCAGGGAGAGGTTGAACGCCTCGACAGGCAGAGACAGGTGGGCCGCTTCGAGTGGCTCGAATGCCTGGAAACAGCAAATAGCAGCGGGCACCCCTAGGCGGCCGCACCGCCTCCGCCTCATCCACTTCCTGCCGCGAGCGCGCCCGGGCCTGGGCGCGGCGCCGCCGAGGGCCAACGCCGCGCCCTGCCCGGCAGCGCACGGCCGGGCAGGCGACCATCCCCTTTGGTGCCCATACACGCACACGCCCACGCTTGTTCATGCCTGCTCCCGATCCCAAAAGCCTTCTATCTCCTGCACGCCCTAATTAGGACCTCCAAGCAAAGGGCGAGGCCCTGTCTGCGCTGATCTGGGCCCTGGACGCCCTCCTCCTCGTGGCGCAGCGCCTGCGACGCGCACAGCACGCACAGCACGCGCAGCATGCACAGCACGCACAGCACGCGGGCCCGGCCTCGCCTGTTGGGGCTCTCAGTGGGCGCGGGCAGGACGGCGTCGGACCCTTTTCGCCGTGGCCGGCGGCTACGGCGGCGCACGGCGCACCAGCCGGCGCGGGCGGCGGCGGCCTCGGCGGC